CCTGCAGCCCTCTCTCCTGTGCTCCCATGGCCATCCACCACCCTGGGGTGGCCTCTGATTCAGAGGTGGGGAAGTGAGTGGCAGCTGGTGCCAGAAACAACCACGGGCCCCTAACACATAGGTGGCGCTTTCAGGCTCCCACTCTTGAGAACACCAGGTGAGCAGGTCCTGCCCACATGTTCTTCTCTGGGACTTCTTCATTTTTTAATTTTTTTTTAAATATGTTTTTCTTGATTTTAGAGAGAGAGGAAAGGAAAGGGAGAGAGAGAAACATCAACATCGATAAGCTGCCTCCTGTATGCCCAGTATTGGGGACTGAGCCCACAACCCAGGCATGTGCCCTGACCGGGAATCGAACCAGTGACCTCTTGGTACATGGGTCGGCGCTCATCCACTGAGCCACACCGGCCGGGCCCCCTGTGACTTCTTGTTCCCTCCCAGGCTGAACTCCATGGGGGAGCAGAGAGGGGGGCCCAAGGCCTGCTGTCCGCCTGGGGCTTCAGAGGGCTGCCTCCCTCTGGTGCTGGCACACAACCCTCCCCCGGCTTCCCTCTCCCATCCCAAGCCTCACCTTTAGGGACTCCTCCTCCTCCCTGTGCACTGGCTCCATCTTCGCCAGATGACCCAGGAACTCTGAGGCCACCAGGGGCCGCTTGGGCAATTGCAGGATGCGCCGCTCTGTGAGCACCAATCGGATGGCTTGGAGAATGTCACCAGGTGTGTAACCATCGGACACCTTGGCCAGGGCACTGATGTCCAGGCTCTGGGTCACTTGGACTCTCTCGGCGAGCAGCATATGCTTCCAGAGCACTGTGGGCATGGGGAGGGCATGGGGAAGACATGGGGCAGGGAGAGGACGTGGGACCTCCGCCTGCGTCTGGAATGAGCTGTGTTTCTGGAGAGTGAGTCTCTCCTCCCAGGAAGGTAGGGATCACCCTCCCCACTCAGCACAAGGAAATGTGATGCGAGGACTTAAGCGGCCAGCCGGCGTCTGCAGAACCAGGCCAGGACCCAGCCACTGGGTTGTTTGTGTAGCAGCCAGCCCTCCCAGAGCCCCTGGCTGTGGAGGTGCTGCTCAGAGCCTCAGAGCAAATGTGGGCAATGGGAAGAAGGGTGGGGAGCCCTGGCAGGGGTGGTCCCTGGACCCCTTCTCTGGCCTGGGCCTCACCATAGCGGGACGCGTAATCAGGCCGGGGCATGAAGAGGATCCGCTCGTAGGTCCGGCACAGCCCCCTCATCTCGGCGAGCTGCGGCTGGTTGGTGGTCCCGATCAGCATGACACGATCTCCGGGGTTCAGCAGTCGCAGGGCCTTAGTGAGGTCCTTCTTTATTCGCTTTGGGTCCATCTGCTCTGGGGAGACAGGGTTTGGGGGTCGGGACACATGACTTATCCTACCGGCTTCTAAGTTCTCAAGGTGCCTGTCCACGCTCACAGGAACCCCGAGAGGCAGGCGGGAGTGGCTGTCAGTCCTGCTTAAGGATACGGAAATACTGCCAGAGGAGGACAGGGGACTTGTCCAAGGCCACACAGCAGGTGGCGCCTGGAGTGGCTTGCCAGGGGCTCCGGCCGCCTGCCATGCACCCTCACCTGTTTCTCTTCCTTCGGGACCTTCTTATAGAAGTTCTTCTCGGCGTCCCCAATCCAGATCACCGAGGGCTGCAGGAGCCGAGCCACCTGGACGGGTCAGAGGACAAAAACCCGATGTTCGACATCCCTGGGCAAGACCCACCTTCCCATCCAGTCCAAGCCAGGGTCAGGGCCGGCCTCGGGCAATGGCGGCCTCAGAGCCCCAGCCTCCGCTTCCTACATCCTGCCTGCCCCCCCTCCCCCCGCCAGCCCTTTGCACACCCATCGCACCTCGATATGAGCCCAGTCCCTGCCCTCCCTGGGGAGCTGGGCTGGCTCCATCTTGAGCCTCATCTCTCCTCCCTTTTCCCCTCCACCTCCCTCATTACAGGGGCTTCAGGTGTCCACAAGCTCCTAGCAGGGCTTGGCAAGGGCCTCACCAGCTCCTGAAGTCACACCGACTAGGTGGGTGGGTGGGTGACCGACCTCCTGAACATGAAGCCCACCCTGCTCCGTTGTCACAGTCTGAGAACTAGAAATGTCCTACCTTGAAGATGATATGCACTATCATCTGCACCCCAGTCTTGCCAGGGTATTTGCCCAGCAGGTTGGCAGGTGACAGGTCGAACAGGTTGGCGCCGGTTTCCGTGCACACAGCATTGACCAGCATCTTCTTCCCCATGCCCGGGGGGCCCACCAAGAGGATGGAGCGGATGAGGGGAGCCAGTGAGTGTATATCTGGGGAGCCTGAGAGAGAAAACGGGCCAGAGGCAGGCGTGGGCCATCGGGGGCCAGGGGTGGGACAGGGTGTAAGGTGAGGTCAAGGCCCGGGGCTGGGCGAGATGAGGTTCACATCCTGGCCGCACTGCCTCCTCGCTTGGCCTGAGAGTCCCCCAGGCAAGCATGCCAAGAGCAGCAGCCTAGAAGACTTCAATGGCTTAGCAGTCACGATGACTACTGTGGGTGTCAGGAGGGGGCCCTCTGGCCCCTTCCAATGACCTTTCTCTTTCCTATGCCATCTGCTTCCACCCTGCATTAGGAAGGGGTACAGTTAAAGGCATGGGACCAACCGCTTCAGAAAGACCCCAGTCTTCTGGGAATGGGACAGACTATGGGGTGTCACTTGGAACTGAGTAAAGGGCTGCAAGTGTGGGTTCCTCAGCAGGTGAAGAGCCCACCTGACTTCTGGGGTGGCCCAGGCTGGGTGTGACCTCCAGTAGGGGTAGGGGTGGGCAAGAGGAATCCAGCACAGGGCCCTGGCACTGGGCATTGGAGGTCTCTGCTACACATGCCCACTTCAGCCACCCCACTTCCCTACCCCAGGCGTACCTCCCCCAGGGCCTCTCACCGAGCCGAAGGACCCCGTACAAGGCCACGTTCTGCCGAATGTCAAACAGGGAAGGCATGGGCAACTTGTTGGCCAGACTCAGAGTGGATCCAAGATAGAGGCAGTCACCTGGGGGACAGGTGGCCACCTGGTGAGTGGCACCCACTTGGGCAAGGCCAAGAGAGAGGACCACTCGAGAAGAAGGTGCATTTCGGAGGGTGGTAGGTGGACTGCAGGAAGGCCATGGCTGGGGGTCCTTGGGCACCGTTCCTCAGCCTGGGAGCAGGCGCTGGGAAGGAGCCTCACCAATGTAGTCCTTCAGTGCCACTGTCTTGCTCTTCTTTAGAAAGCCGAAGATGACAAGCTCTTCAAACAGAGAGGACATGGACCTGGCAGAGGATGGTGCAGGGCGCCCCTCCGAGGATGAAGGGACATGGAGAAAGAGATGAGTGGGGTGTTGTCGCAGGCATGAGGAGAGGGGCTAGGGGACCCTCCTGCCCCACATCCTGCGGTCAAAATCAATAGCGCCACCTGGCCAGGGTGGTTCAGTGGTTGAGCATCTACCCATGAACCTGGAGGTCGCCGTTCGATCCTCGATCAGGGCACATGCCCAGGTTTTGGGCTCAATCCCCAGTAAGGGGCATGCAGGAGGCAGCTGATCAGTGACTCTCTCATCATTGATGTTTCTCTCTCTCTCTCTCTCCCTTCCTCTCTCTGAAATCAATAAAGTTTTTTTTTAAAAAAAAGGTGGAGGTGGGATGCATAATCCATGGACACAGACAATTGTATGGGGAAGGCCTGGGGTGGTGCGGATCAATGGGGGGGGCTGGGGACATCTGAAATACTTTCAACAATAAAGATAAGTTTAGAATTATTAAAAAAAAAAAATCAATAGTGCCACTGGTTTAGCCAGTGCCAGAAGGTGTGGCATCAACCCACAGGTCCACAAGGCAGTCTGCCCATACGCAGCCGGGGCTCTGTTGGTTGAGGGGGTGGGTGGAGGACCAGCGCCCTCCATCAGTCTGCTCGTGGCCCAAAGTTCCACCAGCAGAAACCCAGTCGACTGGGTGACTCATCGCCCTCTTTCTAGAAGCCATATTTAAGGTGTACATGCTCTGAGAGGGGTGGCCGTCAAAGGAGCTAGCATCCACGTGCTCACGACTCACTTCACTAGAGCAGTGACTAGAATGGGACCACTGACAAGTTCTTCAATGCCCCAGAGTGGGAAGTCCGGGGGGGGCGGTAAGCTTTGGAGAGGACAGAGCTGATGAAGGCCGAGGTTGGAGGGAGCATTTATAACAACACTCCACTCACATCTTACTCTGCATCGTCATTTCAAAGCACTTTCTTAAGCTCCTGTCTGATCCTCACAGCTGTCTTGTGAGTTTGGCAGGGGAGGTGCTTGGTTAATTAGGACAAGGGGTCAGAGAGGTTAAGTGCCTTTCCTGAGGTCACACAGCATCAGAACCAGGACCAGCAGTCGGATCTGTCCTGGGCCGGGGCTTGCTCCACTGCCCACAATAAGGCGGGGGGTCTGCTACCTACCTGTCTGGGGTCAGGTCCTTTTCCTTTCTTTTCCAAGCTTTCTTCCCATTTTTTTTCTGGATAGAAACAAGTACATAGGAAATTGTCCTGTTCCTTGCCTCCCCCACTGTGTGCCCTCTCCTGTCCCAGCCAGGCCCCTCCTCTTGCCTTCGGAGCCTTGAAGGGTCTCTCCATCTCCCGGTCCACAGCCAGGCGCAGGCTCTTCAGCTCCTGACGCATCAGCTCGTCCACCTGCGGAGACAGCGGAGAGTGTGGAGGGGCGGCCAGGGGCTGGGGACGGAGGCAGGAGAGGAAGACAGCAGCCTCGGAGCAGCGCCAGGCGAGCCCGTGAAGGCAGCAGGCGGCCACCAACCTTCCTATGTCTTTTTTGGAACCCTTGGCCTTGGCATTTGTCCCTCCACCTGTCCACACTCAATCCTAATCCCTATTCTGCTCACTCATGAGCCCTGCTCTCAACTGGCATCAGTGTGGGGAGAAGCCCCAGGATGGAGTGGGTGGGCATTTCAGCTGCAGCCCCAGACCCACCCGTTAGCGTCTGTGTGACCCTGGGCTGTATGACCTCTCAGCCTGTTTTTTCACAAGTAGCGTCAGAGAAAATCGTGGTGCTTATCCCAGGGGGCTCTGGAAAGATCATGTGATCTAATGCTCCCAAGGGCACATCGCAGGAGCTCTTTAAGGGCTGGTGAGGGTAATGGTGGACACGACCCTGGCACAGAGCCCCCCCCCTCACCTCGAGGCTGCGGGGGAGAAAGAGTGACCCGGGGAGACAGAGGGCCGTGGGGACCAAGGTGGAGCGAGATGGGCTATGCAGGGAGGGCCGTGCCTAGGGGGTGATATATATAAAGGATGAGCCAGCCGTGGGCCTGGGGGGAGAGGACAGGGGACAGAGCCCGGAGCGGCCGGAGGCCCTGGTGGGAGAGGGCGCCGCGGGGAGGCCGGGTCAGCACGCCACCTGTATCCGGATCTCCTGCTCCATTTCCTTCCTCTTCTCCGCCCGCAGCGTCTCGGGGTCAAAACTCTGATTGGGGTATATGTGGTCTGGCCGGTTCTTCCATACATCTGGGTGCGGAGGGGTGGACAGAGTGGAGGGCAGAGTCCCGGGGGTGCTCGCATACACACTCACACACATGCTCACCCGCACACATTCGCACACTCACACCCTCTCACATACACACATGCGCATACTCACACACATTTGCACACATGCTCACCTCACACATTCACACTCACACTCACACTCACATACGCACAGGTTAACCCCCACACATTCACTCTTACACACATACTCACACATGCACACACACACACGCTCACCTGCACACACAGACACACACACTCTCACGCTTACACACTCTCACATACACACAGGCTCACCCGCACACATTCACACACTCACACTCACTCTTACACACACACACACACACACACACACACACACACATGCTCATGCAGGGCAGGAGCCTGACCCAGGCTGGTCCACCTCTCTCTCACTCCATTCCTCTGTCTCTCACACACGCACCCAGGCTGGCCCCTGCCCTCACCTGGCATTGCTTCTCCTCAGACCACAGACAGAGGCCTGATCCCAAGGCCTGTGACTGCAGGATTGAGACCCAGACCCTTAACGACCCCACTTCCTCTCCCTTTGGTATTATTCCTTTGGCCCACACACCCACAGCGTCACCTCATGACCCACACGGCACACGTCCACATTCCCTGGGAACCAAGGATCACTCCAGGGCCCCACGTGGCCCGGACAGCCGCCCAGCCTCCCCCCCCTTACTTTTATACTCCTCGTGTCCCGCGTTGATCAGGGGTATAAATTTGGACGGCAACACTTTCAGTGTTGTATCTGCTTCCTAGGATAGAAACACCCTTTGGCCTTGACCCCCCCACCTTCACACACTCTGACCCCAGCTCTCACCCAGACCAGCCTTCCCACCGGCATCGCCCTGGGCCTTTGCTCCCTCCCCCGTGGGCAGCGGGAGCGCCTTACCCCCTTCCTGGCCTTGTCTTCCTTCCCTTTCTTCGCCTTCCTCTCCTTCCCTTTTTCCTTCTTTTTGTCTTGGTCTTTTTTACTGTCCTCCTGGACTTGCAGCTCCAGCTCCATTCTCACCTGTGACCAAGGACAAAAGATGCTTCAGAGAAGACCAGGGGCATTATACAGGAGTAAGAACCAGGGCCTGTGGCTGGGTGGCCTCAGGATCCCCAAGGCCTCGGGGAACCTGTGGGGTCCAGATGGCTGAGAGTCCACAGACTTCTCTGGGGCCCAGGAAGAGGGGCATCAGGTGACAAAGTGTTCTCACTGGCGCAGCTGCTCTCTCTCCTGGCCCGTGGGGTGCTAGAGCTCCTATAGTCTCACCAGGTGTTTCCTCTCCCTGGCCAAGGATGCCTTCTCCAGATGCAGGCAGCCCCCTTCCCCAACCATGCAGTCTTCCTAACTACATATATTTCTTCTGGCCACTTCTGCCCCCACTGAGGCTGCCCTCGCCCAGCACCCCACCGCCACCCTCAGCTTGCACTCAGTACTCTCTGTAACCTCAGACTCCACCAACTGCAGCAAGTCTCCTGCCCCGCCTCCAGGTTACCTGTTCTGGAGTCTTGTCTGAGAAGATCTGGTAGGATCCACCTAAAGACTCATCTGGATAACTGGGGAATCGGCCAGTAAGGGCACTAAAGGAACATAAGATGGTCGGAGAGATAGACAGGTGGGTGGGCGGATGGGAGGGTGGAAGGGCGGGTAGAAGGGTGGCTGTATGGATGAGTAGAGGGATAGAGAGAGGGAGGGGGAGCGGTCAAGGACCAGGGAGACTGAGGGAGAGAGGGAAGGGACAGATCGTTACAGAACAGAAAGGACAGATCCCTGAGAGGACATTCCTGGGTGCTTTCCCTGTCTCATCCTGGCATTTTCTCTTCTACGTGGGGAAGTCGGAAGTCATATGTGGAGATGGTCCTGCAGTGGACATGGTCCCAATGTGTTAGCGGTGTGTTGGTTGGACGGGGGTCAGTGGAGAAAAGGGCCCAGACTAGACCAGAGGACGGGACAGGTGTGGGGACATAGGTGAGGAGGGAAAGGGGTTGAGGGTTGAGTCAGCTGAGGCTGGGGACACTGACTGGCACTCGATAAACCACTGTCGGATCTGGTCCTTAATTTTCTCCTTCATGTCGGGCTCCTCGGTCTCCCTGAGGGTGTCTTTGGTCTTCACTATGGCCAACTGGAACTCCTCCTCCCGCTCCTCCTGGCGGAACTTCCGGACATCCTTCCCGAGGTTGGCCAGGGACATGGTGCTCAAGTCCACCTGGTTGGGCAAGGGGGCCTGGGGACATGGGGAGGGGGCCGAGGCACTCAGGAGTGGGAGTGGGGAGGACCGGCCTGAGGCTCGCACACCTGCCCCCAGCAGCCCTGCACGTGCGCCTCGCGTGCACACCCGCACGGAACAGCGGGCTTGCCTGCATCGGGAGAAATTGTGTGGTGCCGGAGCTCGCCTGTGTAAATTACTCTGATAATGAGTTTGCGAGATGCATCCGGGCGGGCCCCCCTGCCCGCTCCCCCAGCATACCC